CTGAGCTATGTTCTGTGCAGCACCAGAGGTAAGAGAAGGTAGCTTTAAGTCACAGTTCCTCTTCCCTTATCAGCACTCTTCACTTATCAGCACTGGCAACTTAGAGCAGTCGTAAACTTGTTCTAAGTTTGTGCCCAGCTTCTTTGGCCCTGAGGAGTCATTCCAGCAGGATGTGGGGGGTAATAGGTGCCTATATAAGACAAAATCCTGACTATCGGGACTGTCCCTATAAAATCGGGACATCTGGCACCCTAGGGCTTGTCTACACAGTGGTGCACTACAGGGATGTGATTTCTAAAAAGCACTAATATGGTCTGTGTCGACCTGTTTGGTGCACTGGGTTAAAGCACACTAGGGAACATTTTGTGCACACCAGCAGGATGTACATGGACAAATTAACACACAACACACTAGTTCACTTTAGAAATTACACTCCCCTAGTGCACATTACTCCATTGTGTAGACAAGCCCTATATTATAGAAACAGTTAATACTATTTACCAGATCAAAATGCCTTTTCTGACTGTCAGACATAGCTGACATTTTCAGTATTAGTGTGCTTGCCAAAATACCCATTGACCTAACAGATCATAGAAGTATCATCATAATAGCTTAGAACTGCTCCAGGCTCTGGGGTAGATAAAATGCTTACCTAGATACAAGTAAATGCTGCATGTATCTGTTATTCAGAGCCATTACAACCTCACAAATAAAAATACTGTACATACTTTATCATTATCTGAAATCCCACACTGTCTTTGTCTCCTCCTGCCTTGCTATATCAGCTCCCTTCTCCACAGTCCTAGCTCTCTCCATACTTCAGGATTTGTGGAATGCTGCAGCCTTCCTTTTCACATGTGCTAAGAAGTATGGCGACCTCTCCTTCATCTTCAAACCGGCAGCCCAACCATTTCAAGATCTAGTTCAAAGTGTACCCTCCTTTATTTCAAAATTCTTCATGGACGCAGTTGCCCCATGCTACCTCAAAACCTTGTCTTTCTCGGCTTCTCTCGGGATTCCCTCTGCTCATCTAGCACTCGTGTCATCTCCATCCCAACACAATAATTCACCACTTCTGGTGTGAAAGCCTAGAATGCTTTTCTCCACTTGACAGACTCTCAAATCTCAGTCAAAAACATCTCTCTTTTTTCCTGCCTATACCTCCCAAATAAGAAGTTTATCTCATACTTTACTATTCATCTTTGTAAAATATTTTTGATATACTTTGTGGCAAAGCTGCTATACAAAATAAACACATGGGGCCTGATTTTCATTGCTTTATACTCATTTTATACTAGTGTTGCTCTATGGAGCAAAAATTCTCCACAGGGGCCCAGAGTTTTCTCTTTCTTTTGACATGCACCTGAGAGGGGAGATAGGAGCAATATAAAGCCGCATTCTGAAATGGGCATTCAGAGAATCATGTTAGCCGGATGATACTAGAACAATGTTGACTTAATGCTGTTCATGTCCCTCTGTAGTACCCTGTTTCCCCGAAAATAAGACAGTGTCTTATATTAATTTTTGCTCCCAAAGATGCGCTAGGTCTTATTTTCAGGGGATGTCTTATTTTTCAATGAAGAAGAATACGGTACACATCGGTGGATGCCTTATTATCGGGGAGGTCTTATTATCGGGGGGATGCCTTATATTACAACGAGAGGCAAAACTGTAAGTAGGCCTTATTTTCAGAGGATGTCTTATTTTCGGGGAAACAGGGTAGCATTATCAATATTACACTGTTGCAGTTGTGTGGCATATTGTAACAACACAGGGGTTTCCTGTTATCAGATTGCAAGTCTAAATGTCAGGAGAATGAGAGGCCATGAGAATACTACCCCTTCACTGAAAACTGTATTCTGTTCATAGTTCTTTTCCCTTGGCCACTCCATCACTTTTACACTGTGACCTTGCAAAATCTCTGGTTTGAGTTGGAGATGCAGGAATCAGAAAATGAAATCCTCCCAGTTCTTGTGGAATTTAGTTGAAAAATGCAGAATTACTCCCAGGAGGGAGAAGAATCCATGCATGCCTAAAATATGCCAACACTAAAAAAAAAAAGTAGGAAACTAACTTCCAAATTCAAGTAAAAATCTTTAAGTCTGAGCTATTTTAGTTAAAATGGTAACAGTCGTTTAACTTTTCACCACAATAGAGCTCAAGGTATCCAGAAATATACTTCTGTTGTAAACTGATAACTGCATGAACACCTCTGTAAAAATACAAAAAAGGAATTTGCTCAGTGAGGGCTTGATCCTGCAAAGATTCATGCACATGCTTAATTTATACACTGTGGGAGTGACCCAAAGCCCATTTTGAAGTCAATGAGCATCTGTCCATTGACTTCACTGGGCTTTGAATGGGGGCCTGGAAGCAGTCATATTGAGTGGGACTGCTCACAGTGCATAGAGTCAAGTGTGTGTGAAAGTCTTTACAGGATCAGGGCCTTAGTTGGGAGTCCTTTATTGCACATGTGACCAGGGAGGGAAAACTGCAATACTGTAGGTAGCTTATTTTGTAAAGTTGATTGGAAGAATTTAATATTAAGGGCATATATTTTCTTGCTGGTGCACACAAGTAGTTATCATTAGCACTGGAGTTGTGTGTTTTGAGAGATAAACCAATGATAATATAAACAATAAAACAATCCAAGACAATATGAACAGCATATGCTGTGCTCGCATTTATTGCAGTCTGTATTGCATTCTTTGTAGTCTAATTGTATTGTTTTTTTGAAGAAACTTGTACAGTATAGAGATCATTCTAGAGTAACTCTGAAAAACTGTATTACCATATAAAGTGGTCATCAGTACGAGAGAGAATTTCTCACAAATATTCCAAGATACTAAATTTGAATAACTTGCCTCATTTTTATCTTGACAAAATGGTTTTACCTTTTGAACCTGGTATTTGTTTATTCCATCTTCGTGCTACTGTCTTTCTGGGTTTTGATAAACTTCCAGCACGGAGAGTGAGAAATTAATGTAGTCTACTTCATCTGCTCCCTGAGGTCATAAGTGAATGAACAATAAAATTTCTAGACTGAAATGAATTTCATTGAAAAGGGACTTGGTTAGCCTGTTGCAAGTTATTATTTCTAGTGTCTGCCTCAGTATGATAATATATAATTCCATGAATTTTGCGCATGTGGTGAGGATGGAGGAGTGAACAGACATAAAATATTAATACTATATAACAGTAGTTAATGTAGACATAGTAAAAGTTATTGGAGGAAGTGAATAGGAAAAGGAGGCAGAGAACTCAATTTTATGCTCTTAATTCATTTGTGCAAATTTGTTATTCAATGTTTACTTGGCCTGGGGGGAAAACTCACTCTATTGTAGTGGGGCAGCACAAATAGATTTGGGACTGTGTGCATGTGGGGCTGCCAGCAGAGTAGTTGTATGGTGACTGACTATGCAACCCTGGCATCACCACCACACTGACTCTGCATAAATGGGTATATGGGCAGGTCAAGAAAGGAACCACAGGATTTGTATTTATGTGACAAGGCAGTGCTGCATCCCTCTGCTTTGTCCCCAGGATGGCAAGGGGGATAGACCTTCACCATCACGCAACTCCCTTTGCACCTTAGCCCCCAAAGTCCAGTGTATGGTACCATTTCCTCCAAGTAAAATCCAGTTGCTTGGGCTTTGTGCAGGTGAAATTAATTTCACTGTCGAAGAAGTGGAGAATAGCTGAACTTTTCTACAAGTTTTCTAGATATGCAACAACTCTGTGGAAGGCCATAGTCTCTTAAGCCTTTCCTACCCTTATCAGGAAACGTATCCCTTGCTGACAACAGGTGTTATACTGATGTTTCTGAAGAGGTGCTGAAAATTATTTGTCCTTGGCCACACTTGCAGCTAAGCTATGTTCAGCACTGGTTTAAGTGAACCCATTGCTAATACTCATCAGCAATGAATAATTTTCTAGTGTAATAAAGGCCTTAGTGCTACTTTCGTTATTTAGCTCTCATGTACACAATAACATACTAGGAGTGGGCGAAGTATCACTGATGAAGATTTACAGTGCAGACTTCAGCCATCTTTACCTTGAGTATAGCAATATGGCATATGGAGATTATGGATCTCAACATTGTTGTTGTTACTTATTCATGTTTTGTTTGTACTGGACACTTTCCACATATAAAGATGGTGTAGGCCCTACCTTGAAGAGTGTAGTCTCTAAAAGAAACAGAGATATCTTGATCCAAACATTTTGTGTGTTTAAACCCTGGCTTTTTTTAAGCCATGTCTCACTTTCAGAATAGCTGTTTGTAAATCAGCCCCTTATAAACAAGAACCTTGAGAATACATACAATTGTGATCTGGAATTGTCTGTGATATAAACACATGGCCCAAAGTGTTGAACTGTGATCAAATTCTATCCTCTTCTTGGCTTGTAATTCAACAGTTGTAGTGTTAGGTGGAGAATTCTCTTGGAACACACTGCAGGTATTAAATGAGCTTCTAAATTGATTCAAGAGTTTGCACAAAGAAGGTGCATCTTGAAGAGGATTCGGTAGAAAGAGGCTTTTACAGTTGCTTAAAAGTGAATTTGAAGTTTACTGTTTTGAGGGATGAGGGTGGTAAGTTTAGCAAGGGACTCAGCAAGTTATAAGCTAGAAAGGTTTTCCCATTGAAACTGAAAGAAAGACTGATTTATGGTAAACTTGTCTTGTGAGTTCCATGTTCCAGTTCTTGGCTTTCCCTAGACATGTCATAGCATGCACTTCTTACTAAATAGGACCACCATCTGCAGACATCTCCCTGTGGGATTCCTTAGGCATCCTACATAAAAAATGTACTTTAGTTTATACCTTCTTTTAAAATAAAGCTTTATCTCCAAAAGCATCACCTAATTATTTTGCTAAAAACCTCCCTGTTCATTGTAATATTCAGGAAACACAAAACAAAATCTGAATAAATGATAACCTGCTGGACCGCTTACATTCGCTGTTGTAAATGAAGTTCTAACTTTGTTTTTATCTCCAACAGACAAACAACAGAAAGGTGAATTTGCTATAGATGGATACACCGTCAGAATGAATAATACCCTTCGGAAGGATGGAAAGAAAGATTGCTGTTTTGAAATCTCGGCTCCTGATAAACGCATTTATCAGGTTGGACTTCTTATGTCGTCTTGAAATTAAATTGATAAAACCGTTATGATTCCAGTTACGGAGACATTAACATTTCAGTAAAACAACTCTCCCTGACACATTAGTGAAAAAAACGAACACTGGCTTGCTTACACTGTACATTCATATAATAGGAAATACATTTTGAAAAAATTCAGATTAAGTTCAAATACTATCTTTTTTTGAACAAGAACAAGCAAATCTATTACTTTTATCTATTGGTCATTTAAGTGTTAGCATTATATCTATAATATCTATATATAATTAGTCTGATTTTTTTGGATGAATTATATAGTAAAAAAATGGAGTTATCAAAGAAGAAATATCTGAGTTAAATACATATTGTATTGCTTAGGGCTTTGGAAGGAACATCAAGGTAGAAGCACATATCAGCTATGCAATTCAAAGATCTATCAGCTAGGCATCAATATGGAATGTAAGTTTAATAAGTTTTAAATATCTGAGATTGCAGTTGAAAGCCAGTTAATTAAGTTGTCAGGTAGTGTGTTGGAATCTGACAAGAACATTTTTAAGAAAACTGTATCCAGCAGTCTAAAGAAATTCATGGGTGTCTTCTAATTGTCAAGGGCAAATTTTGTTCATCAGTTCTGGCTTTGACATTGATGAAGAGAAGCAGCTTTTTTCTGCACAGCTGCCAGCTGCTGATCAGAGTTTCAAATCCATCATCCTCTGCTTCCATTACGTAAATTTGTCAAAATTAACTGTACATTATAAGAAGCATCCTTGCAAGAAAAGTACCAGAAGACATGAAGAGAATTACTAATGGTTCCTTGAAGAAGTGACAAGAATGCTACATTTCCTTCCATTACAAATGTGGTGGTGTTTGTATTTATATGATCGTTATAACTATTATTAATATTATGCTTATTGTAGTTTACAGCAGCTACTCCCAAAGAAGCAGAGGAATGGTTACAAGAAATCAAATTTGTATTGCAAGGTAAGTCAGTGAAACAATAGTCTTTGTTTTTAATAATGTTTATTAATAATAGCGTTATCTACTAACTGATGTTCTATATGTGCATAATACAGTAGAACCATTTTTAATCCAGGCTTCAGACCGCATGTGCTGATTCTCAGCTATATTGTGCTTCTTGCATTACTTTTTTTCTTTTCCAGGACTCTGTTTTTCCAAATATTTTCTATATCTTAAAACTCTTTGTAGATAGATCTATCCCTATACCTCTTGGAGAATCTGATGACCATAAAGCACTTTAAATGGTATGTAGAAGAAGAGCACAATTTAACTTAAACAACTTTCATCTTCTTGGTGTCTTAAAGATCTTTTCTGAGACCTGAAAACCAAAGTAGTTAATATATTTTTCTTCTACAAGGACCTATATAAGTAATTCCATTGTTAGTAGCATTTGTTCTTAAGATTCAGTAAAATTCCCGTTAAAATAGTGTGCTGTATGCTGCACAAACATTCACTTTGGGTCGTCTTCTATTCTCATAAATGCTAATTTTCTAAACTGCTATTAAACAGACTTGGGATCTAATGTCATTCCTGAGGAGGAAGAATATGATGACGTTGGACAAGTTTCTCCTCCAGTCAGCACTGCACCAATAGATGATGACATTTATGAAGAACTTCCAGGTATTTCTGAGGTTTTATGTGACTAGAGAAATCTGATGTGTTTTGAGAGAAGCTCAGTTTCTGGTCTGGTAACTGTGAGGGAGTGACAGTGAGTGGCTAAAGTACTCAGATTAATATAGAAGCCCTTGAGTTTTGAATTGTACTGTTCTACTATAGTAACGAAAAGAATATACTCCCTTTACCAAGTCTGAGTGAGGACACTTCCGTCTTGGTGAATCAGGACATCAAAATCAGGCAAATAATAAAAATAGTCTTGTGGGAATTTTGGCTCATTAGCATTGTCTCTGCTACATAATTTTTTAATTATAAAATTGACTTGCCTTACAGCTTTTTCTGCCAACTTGCCCATCATTTTTTCTTCCTTCATTTTACCATTTGTATTAACTAGAGGTTCTCTATCCACTCCATATGCCATCCACTTCTGTCTAATATATGATCTCAATATCCCTTGCAACAGTGCAATGTGTTGGATTGGAGAGGTGTGGTGGTGATCTGTAAATAAAGGCACTGGGAAACTTGACTTTGTTTTTTCATATCATCCAGCATGAATCTGATAATACAGTGATTTCTTACTCTGGTTTTTCAGACATGGTCAAACGTTTACTCCTCTTGATAATCAAACGTAAATCTCAAAATTTTCTCTTGGCAATAGACCTTGGAGTTTATTACAGACAGTAAAATAGCAGGAAGACGTGTCTTTTATTCTTGTTTATGTTTTAGTAAGCTGTCTGAAAATGAGATATTCAATTGCTATGTGTAAAAATGACATTTTAAAATAAAAAATGCCAATACTCAGTCATTTGATATGCAATAATGCAAGATAGAATTCTGTTTCTTTTGCTGTTCAGAGAAAGCACTACTATCAACCAGTATCTTAGAGGAAAAAATAAATCGCATGTGACATAGACCTAACCTTCTATATTTGTTGCATGTTGAATATTTTATCCATTAGAAAAAATATGGTTGGGTGGCACTCTTTGGAAATTGTGCTCTTCTTATGAACTTAAGTGTTAACTGCATTTCAATGAACTATCAGAGCCGATAATTATGGAAGCTGATAAGAATGTTTATTGTACACTTGTGGAAGTATAGAAGGACTTCTCTGTGTTTAGAAAGGCTCAAGAGATGATCTGCTGGGGTAGCTGTAAGGGCATAATTTTCCATATATGTGACCAGGAACTAAATTGCAGAGTTCATCACATGGATAGATCCTCTGTTTATTTGGAGTGTATCTGTGTGCACTGAATGCCCTGAAAAATAAAGAACTGACCTTCAATGGGTTTAAAGTCCAAAGTCACAAGGTCAAAAACATCAGTCTATTTGGGCCCGGGCCTGCCATGTGTTGGATGCCACTTGCACTGTGCTTTGAGTATTCAGCACCTGGCAGGTTATGGTCCTGTACATTTGCCTATACCTTTTATAATTTTATTTTCCCCCTAAATATGTAACTACTAAAGTAAACCTCACTATAGGGTAGTTTCATTTCACATCTTCATGGGGCCCTTTCAAGCAATAAGCGGAGCTGCAGTAGTAATGGTCATAGCTTGAATGAGTTAAACTGGAAAGTATGTTGAGAGCCAGGAGTTATAAAATTTACTTTCACATTAATAAAAAATTTGTATTCAAAATATTGCTAACCTGCATCCTGATGGCCCTGGGAGTATTCAAAAATATTTTAACTTTCATATCATTTTTACATAGGTTTTTCCAACAATTTTTGTCTCCTACAATGTAGGAGATAAGACTAAAAAGCAGTAGAAAGCAGTAAAACTGAAAGGATGGGTTGGTCTTTTTGTTAGTGGCCTGGAATTTAGGATATGTGTGTTCAGTTTCCAACTCAACCGTATACTTCCTCTCTGATCCTGGGCACTTTGTAAGCTCTTTAGGGACTGTCTCTACTATGTGCTTGAACAGTGCCCAGCACAATGGAACCATGATTTCTGTTGTGGCTTCTAGGTATACCCAACTACAAGAAATAAATGACAAAATCTGTCTGCACTAATTATGGAATAAGTTTAATGACTTAAGTGTGTTTCCCTCATAAATATTCTGTAGCATCAAAGTTATACTGTGCTGTGTGAGGCTTTTTCACAGCAGGTCTTGTGACCCTGTCTCAGCTAGATTGGGAATCATGAACAGGTAACCAGCTATCTATTTTTAATCCCTCATGTCACAGTCTTGTCAATTATATTGTATTTGGCCATCAAAAGTTGAAAGGTCGCATGTTCAATAGTCACTTTTACATTTGTTTATTGAATTTAATGTTATGAATTGAACAGTACATTTTTCTGAATGCCATGAGTACAGGAGCTATTCAGCCACCTGAATATTGCCTATTTGGTTGTTGTATAGTTACTAAAAGCAGAGCTAGGAGAACATAATTTATAGACTCATAGACTTTAAGGTCAGAAGGGACCATTATGATCTTCTAATCTGACCTCCTGCACAACGCAGGCCACAGAATCTCACCCACCCACTCCTGCAACAAACCCCTGACCTATGTCTGAGCTATTGAAGTCCTCAACTTGTGGTTTAAAGACTTCAAGCTGCAGAGAATCCTCCAGCAAGTTTCCCATATCCCATGCTGCAGAGGTAGGCGAAAAACCCCAGGGCCTCTGCCAATGTGACCTGCAGGAAAATTCCTTCCCGACTCCAAATATGGCGATCAGCTAAACCCTGAGCATGTGGGCAAGACTCACTAGCCGGACACCCAGGAAAGAATTCTCTGTAGTAACTCAGATCCCACCCCATCTAACATCCCATCACAGGCCATTGGGCATATTTACCGTTAATAGGCAAAGATCAATTAATTGCCAAAATTAGGCTATCCCATCATACCATCCCTTCCATAAATTTTTCAAGCTTAGTCTTGAAGCCAGATATGTCTTTTGCCTCCATTGCTCCCCTTGGAAGGCTATTCCAGAACTTCACTCCTCTGATGGTTAGAAACCTTCGTCTAATTTTCTGATGGCCAGTTTATATCCATTTGTTCTTGTGTCCACATTGGTACTGAGCTTAAATAATTCCTCTCCCTCCCTGGTATTTATTCCTCTGATATATTTATAGAGAACAATCATATCTCCCCTCAGCCTTCTTTTGGTTAGGCTAAACAAGCCAAGCTCTTTGAGTCTCCTTTCATAAGACAGGTTTTCCATTCCTCAGATCATCCTAGTAGCCCTTCTCTGTACCTGTTCCAGTTTGAATTAATCCTTCTTAAAGATCGGAGACCAGAACTGCACACAATATTCCAGATGAGGTCTCACCAGTGCCTTGTATAACGGTACTAACACCTCCTTATCTCTACTGGAAATACCTCGCCTGATGCATCCCAAGACCGCATTAGCTTTTTTCACAGCCATATCACATTGGGGGCTCATAGTCATCCTGTGATCAACCAATACTCCGAGGTCCTTCTCCTCCTCTGTTACTTCCAAGTGATGCGTCCCCAGTTTATAACAAAAATTCTTGTTATTAATCCCTAAATGCATGACCTTGCACTTTTCACTATTAAATTTCATCCTATTACTATTACTCCAGTTTACCAGGTCATCCAGATCTTCCTGTAGGATATCCCGGTCCCTCTCTGTATTGGCAATACCTCCCAGCTTCGTGTCATCCGCAAACTTTGTTAGCACATTCCCACTTTTTGTGCCAAGGTCAGTAATAAAAAGATTAAATAAGATTGGTCCCAAAACAGATCCCTGAGGAACTCCACTAGTAACCTCCTTCCAGCCTGACAGTTCACCTTTCAGTATGAACCATTGTAGTCTCTCCTTTAACCAGTTCCTTATCCACCTTTCAATTTTCATATCGATCCTCATCTTTTCCAATTTAGCTAATAATTCCCCATGTGGAACTGTATCAAATGCCTTACTGAAATCGAGGTCAATTAGATCCACTGTGTTTCCTTTATCTAAAAAAATCTGTTACCTTCTCAAAGAAGGAGATCAGGTTGGTTTGGCATGATCTACCTTTTGTAAAACCATGTTGTATTTTGTCCCAATTACCATTGACCTCAATGTCCTTAACTACTTTCTCCTTCAAAATTTGTTCCAAGACCTCGCATACTACAGATGTCAAACTAACAGGCCTATAGTTACCCGGATCACTTTTTTCCCCTTTCTTAAAAATAGGAACTATGTTAGCAATTCTCCAGTCATACAATACGATCCCTGAGTTTACAGATTCATTAAAAATTCTTGCTAATGGGCTTGCAATTTCATGTGCCAGTTCCTTTAATATTCTTGGATGAAGATTATCTGGGCCCCGATTTAGTCCCATTAAGCTGTTCGAGTTTGGCTTCTACCTCGGATGTGGTAATATCTACCTCCATATCCTCATTCCCATTTGTCATCCTACCATTATCCCTAAGCTCCTCATTAGCCTCATTAAAGACTGAGGCAAAGTATTTGTTTAGATATTAGGCCATGTCTAAATTATCCTTTACCTCCACTCCATCCTCAGTGTTTAGCAGTCCCACTTCTTCTTTCTTTGTTTTCTTCTTATTTATATGGCTATAGAACCTTTTGCTGTTGGTTTTAATTCCCTTTGCAAGGTCCAACTGTACATGGCTTTTGGCCTTTCTCACTTTATCCCTACATGTTCTAACCTCAATAAGGTAGCTTTCCTTGCTGATCCCTCCCATCTTCCACTCCTTGTAGGCTTTCTGCTTTTTCTTATTCACCTCTCTGAGATGGTCCTGTGGCACCTTTAAGACTAACAGAAGTATTGGAGCATAAGCTTTCGTGGGTGAATGCCCACTTCATCAGACTTGCGTGTGGGGCATCCAATACTTCTGTTAGTCTTAAAGGTGCCACAGGACCCTCTGTTGCTTTTTACAGATTCAGACTAACACGGCTATCCCTCTGATCTCTGAGATGAGTTTTTTCCCCTCTCTTTGTGCTCGTTTAGCTCTGCCTCATATGCCCCTCCCTGGCTGGGTGTTCTGAGTTCCAACTAGCTATCTGGGCACTTCCCCTTCTGCCTTCTAGACTACATGAAGATGCTCAGTACAAGAAATGGGGAGTAAAGATGAAACTTCTCCTGGAACTTGCTTGGAATCTCAGGTTAAAACATCATGACCACCGCCACCACCACCATCTGTCCTAATCATGGAGGGCAGAGAAGGAGTCCTTAACTTTTCATCTGACCTAAACAATAGAAAATAATGCTTTCTACACTTCCAAAAGATGGTCTAAGCAGGAGGGTGTAGAAGAAATTATCCCAGACCCCCTGGCCGAACCTAGATGTGGGGAGAGAAAAGAACTACATCTTCCTTTAGGAGTGCCTCACAACAACATCCTCCTCCACTGAGCATGTCCTGGATTCTGCCTTTCCACCTACCCCCCAGGGCCTTGCAAGTGTTGATATTTCACTAGGACACACAGCTTATTGTGCCTTATTGCTTAATCAAGGAATGGCAATTCATATACCAAAGTTACTAATGAATTCTGGCATTTCTGTGGCACTCAGAGGTTTTTGAAATGATGATTTGAACAGTTGGCCGTGCAATTTTGACCAAAGCACATTGAGCCCATTCATAATACAGTTCTTTTTTTTTTTTTCAGTAGTGGACTTGAGTGAAGGCTGTATTTAAAGCTGCCTCCTTGTCTGAAGAGGATATTATGGGAATATTAGTATAGTTTTGAAACTTGGGAATTCAGCACTTGAGAAAACTGCTGAATAGTTGAGCTGAATAGTTCAAACCAGTAACTAGAATAGTAACAGTCTATTAGCCCATTGAAGACTTGGTTTTCAGTGGAATTCAATTTCTGCTAATGTCTGCTGGCAGGTGGTGTGGCTGGTTGGGAGGGATACAAAAGAGGAAAACTAATCTCTTGATCTATTAACCCATTTTCTTCTTACTTTAATAGCATATACAAATTCATATTTACCACAGAGGCATCATTTTTCTGGTTCACTTTAATAAGAGCATGTTTAATAGCTACTGTGATTATTCAGGTAGAGTCAAGATCATTGCCGCTGCCAAAGACATGCTAATTTACAAACCCTCCCTGCAGGATTCTGCAGGAAATGACAACTTTTGCTGCTTTCAGCAAGCTAAGGTAGGCTAGTTTGCCTAGAGAGAACAATTAAAGGAAAACTCAGTTTAAAAAAAACAAAAACAAAAGTTGACACTGAAATTCTTTGCTGAAGTTAAGTAATTAATAGCCTGATAAATTAATCAATTCTCTATATTTTTGACATGACAAATATGTATTGTAGCCTTCAACTGCCAGTGCAAACCTGAAAAAAATAACTTTAAGAATTAAGTTAAAAAAAAATAGTGAACAGAGTTTGAGCACAGAAGTTTCTGGTTATCAGGGAATAACGTACAGATTATTGAGGGTGCAAAGTTTGGTTTAAGATCAGGTGGCATGAGGAATACATAATCTGCAATATCCCCGATTGGGGGTAAAAGGTTGATGGGTCAAAGTACAGACTTTGAGATATGAGGGTATGAACTTCATAGAGTGGTTGTGTTCAGGTGTGGAGTATAATGAATGGATATGATGATGAGGATGGATTGACCCTCATTTGGTGAGATTTAATGTTTAGGGAGTTTATGGTTCCAGTTCATATGATCCAATGGAGAAGGTCACTTGGTCCTTTTCTCATAGTGGGAGAATGTCACTCCGGCTCACGCCTCCTGGTACTGTCGGTGGCCGGTGATGTGCTCGATGTAGATGTCCCTGAGACCATGAGGCGCCGCATGAGACATGCGTAGCGTCAACCGATCCCGCAGGTCCACAGCACACGCTCGTTGCAGGGGTCCCAGGCGCCCAAGGCTCCGACAATCAGGGCGTCCATCTGCACCTCATACCCCTTCGCTCTCAGGGTGTCAGCCAGGGGGGCATACTTTTCCAGCTTACGAGCTCGGGCTTCGCAAAATGCCAGAGTCCTGTTCTCAAAGGAGACCGTGACGTCGACGAGGATGATCTTTTTCTGGGCCTCGTCGGTGACGACCACATCAGGTCATAGCTGGCTGTCGGTACCGGGGATGGTGCAGTTCACTGAGATCTCCCCCAGGCGTGGCGCGATGGCTTTCACCAGGCGGTTCTGGATGGCGTTGTGGCGCAGCTGCCAGGCTCTGGAGTGGGGTTTGCAGCTGCACAGGACGTGGGGCAGGGTCTCATTGGGGTAGCCGCAATTCCTGCAACGCTTGTCTCGGTTCCCGTGGCGGACGGCTCCGTTGAGCGGGGCACGGTGGATGAACCGCCAGTCGGCGAAACGGGTGAAGCCACCCCCGGCGAGGAAGTGGTTGCTGGTGTCCCACTTGCTGGTCAACTCAAAGGCTTTTCCCTGGTCCGGTTTACACTTCAGGGTTTCCACGTACAGCGAGCGGATGGCGGCCTTCAGAGTCCTCTCCAGCAAGCCCCTGGCCGTTGGGTTGACGATGGTGTTGTCATCGGAGCTGATGTGCCTCACCCGGACTCCTAGCTCCTGGCGCTCCTCGCACCACTCCCAGCGGCAACCGATGCGCTTCCCCAGGTGACGCGTGGCGTTGCGAGTGCGGGACCACAGTGAAGCAATGTCGTGCCCGTCCCATCCAAATTCCCCATCCAGGGAGCCGCTCAGCAAGGTGGCGATTTCTTGGTTCGAGGAGGCTCTGCCGATCCACTTCTCTGTCGCATCACGCAGGGCGTTCGCCGCAATGTTCCTCACCGTGGCATCGGGACATGTCAGCAGGCGGAAGGCGTGGGTGATCACCGTGACATCGCACAGGTCACCCATGCGGGGGACGTTGGCGCCGCCGTGCCTGTGGGCAAGGTAGACCAGCTCGTTGCTGGCTCTCTGGGGAAGGAACAGCCACTTCTTCACCAGCTTCCGGATGATCTTGTCTGCCTTGTTGAGGGCACCTTCGCCACGGCAGATACCCTTAGGGTGAATGAGATGCGTGGGATCAGGAAGGTGTACAGGGCGTTTATCTTCTGCCACGGTGCCAGCAGGAAGGCATCAATCTTGGCGGCGTCCTGCAAGATCTCCTGGATGGTGTCCTCGAGTGTCTGCCGGACACGGAACCCTGTTGGCGTGCCCAGGTGCTGGTATGCCTGCCTCTCTGCCAGGGGGATGACGGGCTCACCCTGGATCTGGAACCCCGTTGTCTGCACCAAGTCCCTTTTGCTGCCATCAATGCGCAGAGTTGCGCACTTCTTCGCATTGAAGCGGAGCCCCATCCAGTCAGTAGCTCGGCTGGTGGCATCTAGCTGAAGTTAAGTAATTAATAGCCTGATAAATTAATCAATTCTCTATATTTTTGACATGACAAATATGTATTGTAGCCTACAACTGACAGTACAAACCTGAAAAAAATAACTTTAAGAATGAATATTACATAGAGCAAACCTATGCATCCTATCATACCAGGACATCCAAGATCTTTGGATCAATGGAATTCTAAATGATGGGGGAAGAGTTGGGTTATTTTAGGCAGGCCATATTTTCAGCTTCCCAACCTGGAGAGCAGTGAAGGAAATGTTTTCCAGTTCTAATAGGGTTCTGCTAATCTAGCCCACCTTCTGGCATACGATCAAACTTTGATTAAACTGGAATTTTGTTATTAGGCTTTTTAAAAACGCTTTGTGTTTTTTTCCATGCTGCCTCCATGCATGGAACAACTCCAGATGAAGAAGAACTGCCCAAAGTTTCCCCAACATAAGGCGAATCCCTAGATGGCATAAAGCTGGTATAGCTGGCTCTACGCCACTCATTCCAAACTTCCCACACCAAGCACAGGGGCTCTTTGTGAGCAAGCTGGACATCAGGGAGTGGGGGCAGAGCCGGAGTCTACTGTTTCAGTAGTCCTGAGCCAACAGCGCAGCCCCACAAAGAACTATTCTAGCATGTATAACTAAGAGCATGTCTTAGGCTGCTCTACATTACTTTTGGGGGTGATTCAGTGCATGGCTGGGCCATGGATCAAGGGAATGGAAAGTTTGCCTTTCCACCTCACCTTCAATCTGAGACCTGTGCCAAGCTGTACTGGCCACAGCTTGGATTCTGGCCAATAGTTCTGTTTTGTAGTGTAGGTGAGACTTTAACCATGTTTTGTAACCGAGGTAAAGCTTTGAGCAGGATAAGACGTGTCTATAAGTTTTGTACAGCTCTGAGCATATTCCAGGCTTGGGTTTTGCTCCTGCCTTAGATTGATTTAGGCAAATTGTTTATATGTAATTATGTCTTTAGTTATATTTTTGTTGACGTGCTTAGGTGCTTCATCTAACAAACACTTTAACAATGAAACTATTATTATTGCACCAGTGTTTGATACTTTGTAAGAGTGTAAGCAATGTTGAACCTGTCCATTCCTTTTAGTCATTACTTGAAGCATCTGTGTGTTAATAAAAAGGTGATACTCTCACTTATCCTGCCTAGGAAAGTAGCAAAGCTTGATACCTTCCTGCTGCAATCGTTTTTGGATGTAGAGCTGTTTTGGTCTCAGAAGTAAATGAGCTTTACTGATGCATTCCATGATCTGTCAGTACAGAGGAATCAAAAACTAAAACATGACCTGTGTTTTACCTACATTTGAGGAGAAGCATGTCGATGACTGTGTGTAAGGTAGATCTCTTGTTTCATGAACCAGGATGCCTCCCTTACAGTCATTTTGTATTTCCTTTCTCTAAGCATTAATGCTTGAGGATTTCACAACAATAACAGTTAATGAAACCTTCTCATAAATCCTTCCCTCAGTTTTAAGTTTTCAAGGTAATGCACTAGGGATTACCTGTGTGTTCCATGTCGATTTTGATGGGAGTTATGTGGCTAAAATCCTGCACACTGCTTTGAAAACATAGAGGTTAGTGTCACGAAGTCCCAATCATGGACTGCAACAGGGCAATCAACTCCTAAGATTAGGAAGACAAAGTGATCTTGTCTTCGTACTGTTACAAGTGGATATGAGATTCTTCTTCACTTCTCGTGCTCCCGTATTGTTTGCAGTGCTGATATTGTTAAACTGTTATTCTTTCCACCAGTAGCTGCATTTCAGCAATGGATGAAGTGGTTTCTGAATGTAAATAGTAAATCACTTTGTAAAATGTATGGAATATTTGGAGGTGAAAAGAGCAAATGTAAGATTATTATCATTCTGGAGATTAAAAATGAAGGTGAGTTTTAGAAAAAGAGCTTCTAGGAAGTATTCTGAACAATTTCAGTTGATATATATGGCAGGTGTGCACAATGAAGTCTTTCTTGGGAAAACAGTGAGGACAGTTCATCACGTAAAAGCAGTCCTTTTAAAATGGATCTCAGTGACAAAATTAAGATGCTTATTACTTGTTTTGTAGCTATTTTGTGCATGGGAAATTTGCACCCTTTCTTGTCTAAAGAGTATATTAAAGTTACCAAATTTTTCAAAATATTTTATTATGGTCACAAACAGTAAAATTAATATTACATTTATATGAGTAATAAGAAAAAGAGAAAAGTTGGTCATATGGCTCAGAAGCACACAAAATATACGGAAGCAGTGAAAAGCAATTATAAATGGCATATTAACAGAAAATAGAAAAGATTTTTTGTTTGAAATGTATGAAAGTTTAGGAATCCATAATTTTCTAGAAACTACATAAATCTGGTGGCCGACGTGTCTGTGGTGTATATCAGAGGGCATGGCACAATGGATTTATCATCACGTGAATGAGCTTGAATCCAAAACATTGTCATGGTTTGGAGCTCAGAGAATCTCTCTGAATTTGTTGGTGACACTTTGAATTTTGAGGCAGTACTTTCCTGAGCTTTTTTTCATTTTACCCTCCCAGATGTGCTTCCTGAGGATATTTCCCAGCAATTGTTGAATGCTTATGGGTATACAAGAGTCCTATATTAAGATGATTTTCGATTTAAAGTCCATGAATTCAGGAAGAAGTTAAGAGCCTTATGTCTGGGTCTTATCCTTTCTTCTTGGCAATCCCTTGGGCCAGATTTTTATCTATGTAAACTGTCATCTGAGGATGACTCCTTTTCTTTATCTTGGTGATAAGCAGTAGGCATTCATGGATCTTCTCTCTCCCTTCTTCTCATCTGGTTGAGAGGAGGGAGCGGACGCAGCAGCCAAAATCCTGGTGGGTCTTTTGGAGAGTGCACAGATTCTCTCCTGCTTCTTGCTAGGTGATGTGCTTCTCAGCAGTAGACCCTATGATCTATTGCAGGGGTCTCAAACTCAAATGACCACGAAGGCCACATGAGGACTAGTACATTGGCTGAGGGCCGCATTACTGACACCTCCCCCTACCACCCTTCGCCCCGCCCCCACTCCACCCCTTCCATGAGGCCCTGCCCCCATTCCAACCCCTTCCCTGAAATCCCCACCCCAACTCTGCCCCCTTCCTGCCCCCAGGGAGGGCAGGAGGGGTGTGGGGTGTGGTGGGGGCTCAGGGCAGGGCGTTGGGGTGTGGGGTGCAGGAGGGGTGTGGGGTACAGCAGGGGGTTGGGCTGCAGGAGGGGTGCGGGGTACAGCAGGGGGTTGAGCTGCAGGAGGGGCTCGGGGGGCGGGCTCCGGCCCCACACGCACCGGGGGCAGGGCAGGCCACCTGTCTGCCTGTCCCCACACCGCTCCGGGAAGTGGCCGGAACCTGAGGGAGGAGGGGCACGGG